GTGTTTGAGCCACTCAGCCCACGTCACGTGACTGAAATATCGCTGCAAAGGATTCTGGGAAACCGAGTTTCTGACATGTTCGGCTTCTCTAAAGGAGGTTGTCATAGGGTGGGAAACACCCCAAACTCAGGAAGTGCTTCTTACGCTGTATGGCCAAAAGGAAGGTCAAATGCCCCCATAAGTGGTTATGAGGGCTCCAGGGAGCTGGGCTGGGCTGAACCCTGTGTGTGTGGGGGGGGGTGTGTGTCCGGATCGTGTCTCTCCCTTGTTCACAGCCCTCGGGGGCTCCCATCCACTCACAGCGCAACGGAAACACCCATGGCCCGTCCCTAGGGTCCTACGGGTCTGCTCCTACCCCTCATCTTCTTCCCCCCACTCTCCCCTCCATCCCATCTGCTCCAGCCCGCCAGCCTCCCCCCTGTCTCTCAGATACTCCAAGCCACTCCCACCTCACGGCCTTTGCACCTGCTGTTCTCCTTCCAGATCCTCACATGGCTGCTTCCCTTCTCTCCCTCAGGTCGCGGCTCAGGTGTCACTTCCCCTGACAGGCCTGACCTGACCTCCTCTGCTGGGCCATCACTCTCACCCCTGGTCCTCTTTGATTTTCTGTCGCTGGCCTGTTGCCCCTGACCTCACAGCATATATTCACTTTTCGCGCTCACTAAAATGTCACCTCCGTGTGGGCAGTGGTTTGAATTGTCTTCTGCTGTCTCCCCAGTAAGTGCTTGATAGAGATTGTTGAGGGGCGCCTGTGCGGTGCAGTGGGTGAAGCGTCCAACTCTTGGTTTCGGCTCAGGTCGTGTTTTCCTGGTGTGTGAGTTCGAGCCCCATGGCCGGGTCTGCCCTGCTGGGGCAGAGCCTGCTTCGGGTTCTCTCTCTTCCTCTCTCTCTCTCTCTCTCCTTCCCTCCCCTGCTCTTGGGTGCGCACTCTCTCCCTCTCTTTCTCAAAACAAAGAAATAAACTTTAAAAAAATAGGGACACCTGTGGTGGCTCAGTCGGTGGAGCATCTGACTTCGGCTCAGGTCATGATCTCCCAGTGTGTGAGTTCGAGCCCCGCCTGGGGCTTTGTGCTGACAGCTTGGAGCCAGGAGCCTCCTTTGGATTCTGTGTCTCCCTGTCTCTCTGCCCCTCTCCTGCTCATGCTCTGTCTGTGTCTCTCTCTCTCAAAATAAACATTAAAAAATTAAAAAATATATATTGTTGACCTGATAAATACCTCGCTATTGTAGTCCAGTTCTTTTTAGATCTCTGGGCCTCAGTTTCCCTGGCCATGCAGGAGAACTTTGCCACTCTGACCTTAGTGGGAAGGGACAGTGGGTGGAGAGGCCCCGGCGGGGGCCCCCAAGGAAAAGTTTTCTAAGCACCTCCTCCCTCCCCCTCCCCTGCCCCGAGGAGTCTGGGGAGAGACAGAGAGGGCCCCCTTTCCCTAGGTCAGTCCCTACCTGCCTGGGAAGAAATGGGGGACACCTGGGAAGAGGGAGGAACCCCAGAGGAAAAAAGGACGATCTTTTCTTGGTTGTAATCCTGGGCGATTCCTGGACTCGCCCCGCTTGCCCAGCAATCTCGGCGGCGCCCTCCAGGCAGAGGAAGCAGCTGCCTCCAGCCGACCCCGCATCCCCAGAACGCGCTCCTCAGCCCTTGAGCTCCGGGTCACAGTCAAGAGCCCCTGCTCCGCCCGGATCTGGAGGTGCGAGAGCGAGCCGAGCCGGGCGCTCTGCTCTGACCCGGGCGGCCACCCAGCCCCCTTCCCCTGCGGGCGGGGCGGCCTCCCAGGACGGGCGGCTGCCCTTGTAAGGAGGTGACGCCCTGACACCCGACACGCCTGGTTATAATTAACTCAGACACGTGGCGACCCCACCCCCACCCCCCACCAACACCTGTCCCCGTGTCCCCCACCCCAGCGCCCGGGGTCTAGGTCTTTGCAGAGGCCACAGCAAAGATCCCTCTAAAAATAAGCTCCCTTCCAGGCTGAGTCCCTCCTTGTCCCCTCCACGCGCCAGCCCAGCGGAAACCCCCAGGGTCAGCCCCGCGGGCTGGAGTCGGGAGGGCACACCCCCCCTCCGAACCTGGCCTTGAGTTCCAATCTTCTCTCGACTCAGAGGAGCCTCCATTTCCCTCCTACTCACTCTCAAGGAGGAAAGTGCACCCAAGCACAGGCTTCTGGGGGTTACGCTGCCCTGCGCTCAGACCTGGGCTTTGGCCAAGTGCTCCCCATACTTGGGTGACGGATGACCCGCAAGTTTCTGGAAAGCCAGATCGGGGCCCTCCTGGGGGTCTATTGCAAGGCTTCCCAGGGCGCAAGGCTCAGGCCGCTGTTTACCCGGGTCAAGGCCACTGGGGGCCGAGGAGAGGTCTAGGCATAGGAGGGGCTTGTAGCCCGGGAGGGCACGGGGAAGGTGGCTCCTACGTGCCTCGGATGCTCCCTGCCCCAGTCCCGTGTCCTGGGCGGGGGGCCAGCTGTCCCTGCCAGCTCGACTCAGCACTTGGTCAGGGAATCAGCTTGATGTGAGGCGGGGCGGGGGGGGGGGGTCTGGGCTCAGCTCCTGGGGCGGCCCATACAAGGCCACGGGGCTGGGCACAAGGCGTGCCTGGGTTCAGGGTGGGCACGGTGCCCGGGCAGCGAGGTGAGAGGCTCAGCTACCCTCCAGCTCCCTTCCGGGGGGGGGGGCGGCCCCTCCCAGCCAATAGCAGAGCCTGACCCCCCTATATAAGCCCAGGGCTACAGGCCCTTCCTTTGGGTCAGTGTCGCCTCCAAGGATACAGACAGCCCCTTTCAGCACAGCCCGGCCAGGTACCGCTGGGGGTGGGGGTCAGGGTGGGGGCCAGAATGGGGGCCCCCTGGTGCCAGCAGCTGATCTGCTCTTGCGAGTGAGCCCCCTACTGTCCTACACATAGGAGGGTCGGTGTGTGGGAAGATCGCCCCGTGTCTGGAAGTCCCCTCCACCTGTGACCCCCCAGGACCTCCTGCAGGGTCCAGGGTCCGCAGGGCCATGGGGAGGGATGCTTCATCACCAGACGGGGGACCACGAGCCGTGGCAGGTGTCTGTCTGCCAACCGGGCAGGGTCTGCAAGCCCAGGCCCCACAGGGTCTTTGCGTTTGGGATTCAGCGGGTCCCGCTGTGTCGCGCAACTGTGTGACCTTGCGTCTGACTTTCTGTGGCTCCCGCATGGGTGCCTGCACCCCGGGCATGTCCCTGAACGTGAAGGGGTGTGTGTGTGTGTGTGTGCGCGCGCGCGTGCACACGTGGGATTCTGTTCAGGGTGCGATCTGGGGGTTCCAGGGAGGGGTGTGTGGCGTGGGGGCTCCCCCACCTTGCCTCAGCGCCCTCTGCTAACGCGTCCCTTGCAGGGTGGGGGTGGGGCACCATGAAGGGGGGTTCCTGGGCTGGAAGCCCTTGAGCCCCGAGGCCAGGATGCGTGTCCTCCCGGCCTCCCTGGCCCACCTGTCTCCGGCCTGCTGACTGGGCACAAGCAGAGCCCCTGGAATGTGTGGGGTGTTGGGGGGGGGCGGCAGCTGGCGGAGGGGGAGGGGAGCCTGCCAGACTCTATAAATAACCCCCAACCCTGGAAGGCAGCTCCAACGGTCCTTCGTGAATTCCATTGGCCCCTGGCCTGATGCCTCAGTTTGGCCCCCCCTGGTCCTGATGTCCTTCCCACCATCCTACCTGATCCCCACTTATGGAGCCGCCGGGAGTGAGCTCCCCATCCTGCCATGGCCACCGAGGAGTCCCTGCTCCTTCCTGGGGCTTATGGATAAAAGTAATAATAACAATAATCGCAGCCCATCCTCCAGCTAGCAGGGCTCAGCTCCACGGGAGGGCGTGTGATCAGCCAGCCTCATGACAGAGTCTAAAGAATCCTCTTGGCAACCCCCTGTGCAACGCTTAGTTCACAGGAGACAGAGGCTCAGAGAGGCTGAGCAACTGGCTTGGGGGTCACACAGCAGGGAAGTGGCACAGGTGGGATTTGAACCCAGCTCTGACAACTCAGGCACCTGAGCTCTTCTCAGCTGAGCCCTGCGGAAGGGTTGCCGGCAAACCCGGGTGGGGACCGCCACCCAGCCTTCCCTTGCACCCTGCCCCTCATGCCTTGACTGAGCACCAGGATGCCCCTTCTCTGCTCACACGCTCATTCTCCACAACCCCCTCCACCTTCTCCCCAGCTCCTCACGCAGACCTTTAAAATAATGACAACAGGGGCGCCTGGATGGCTCAGTCAGTGAAGCGTCTGACTTCAGCTCAGGTCATGATCTTGTGGTCCACGGGTTCGAGCCCCGCGGCGGGCTCTGCACTGACAGCTCAGAGCCTGCATCCTGCTTCGGATTGTGTGTCTCCCTCTCTCTCTCTGCCCCTCCTCTGCTTGCACACTGTCTCTCTCTCAAAAATAAATAAACATTAAAAAATAAAAAAAAACCCAATAATTCTAATAGTAGCGAAGCAAAATAATGCTTATTGTGTGCCAGGGCTATTCCAAGTGCTTTATATACTTCGACTCCTTTGGTGCTCCCAACAGCCCCATGGGATGAGTGCTCTTATGGCCCCCAGTCTACACATGAGTAATCTGAAAGCACAGAGATGTCAAGCAAGGAGCCCAAGGTCACACAGCTCATTGTCAGTGGTAGACCCGGAATGTAAACCCAGGCTGTCTGATTCCAGAAACTGCCCTTTTATCTATGACAGTATTACTACCCCATCCCAAAGTCTCCCTGCTTCATTTTCCAGCTGGAGAAACTGTCCCTAGCAAGATCTAGTCCAGGGTCACCTGTCAGGGTGTGGCCGAGCTGGGATCTTAACCACAGAGTCCTGATGCATCCCGTCAAGATGCAGGGGCTGAGAGAGGGCGTCCTTCTTGTTCCCAGTCGCACAGCACATGAATCAGGACTGGCCGTCAGGCCCGTCTGACCCGCAGACCTTGCTCTGTCCCCTTGCTGGCCTCTGCCGGATGCGAGCTAACCTTCTCCCACCTCCCCTGCCCACCAGGCCCCCCCAACGCCGCCACCATGCCTTTCGGGAACACCCACAACAAGTTCAAGCTGAACTACAAGCCTGAGGAGGAGTACCCTGACCTCACCAAGCACAACAACCACATGGCCAAGGCGCTGACCCTCGAGCTCTACAAGAAGCTTCGGGACAAGGAGACTCCCTCCGGCTTCACTCTGGACGATGTCATCCAGACAGGTGTGGACAACCCAGGTAAGCCTCCTTGGTGGAGTGCAGACAGGGAGTAGGACGGGGCAGGGGTGGGGCCTCGATCCTACCTCCCTGGGCCTCAGTTTCCCGTCTGTAAGATGGGAGCCATACTCAAGGGGCTGTTAGGAGGAACAAATGAATCTCCCTGTGTGAAGGGCTTGGGACACGACCTGGCACATGGCCAACCACTCGCAAACGACCACGAGTAGAGTGTGAGGAGGTCATTCGACCTCCCTGGGCCTCAGTTTCCTCATCTGAAAAATGGGCACCCGTGTTGTGGAAACATAGGAGTTGGCACATGCACGGTGCTTAGAGCAGCGCCTGGGACGGGGCCAGTACTCGGGATCCGAGGGGGATGTCATGGATGCCATGGTTCTTTCTCTGCGGACACCCTGCAAGGATCAGCGGCACCCAGCCTCCGACTCACTGTGAGATTGTGGGGGAGGGGAAGCCCCTTTCTCCAGGCCCCTGTTTCCCCATCTACAAACAGGAGAGGTTATCAAGCCTCTTATTAGCTGTGGGAGCCGAGAGTCTAATAAGCTTCTGAAAAGTTTTAGATGACGGGAGAGTCCGTGATCGGGGGACTCGGAAGGGGTAATATGTTTAGTACCTTGTAACTGGCCCCCCGAGACTTTCCTTTGCCCGTTGCCCTGCCCCCAGCACCCTCCCCTCGCCGCAGAGGCCGCCTAGACCTCTCCAGCCTTCCCTCCCCCCCACCCCCATACCCCTGGGGCTCTGCAGTGCTGACACACGCAGGCACGCGCACACACACCATCTACACTGGACCAGGAGCCCGGGCCTTCCTGGCCGGGGACAGGCAGCTCTGACCTTCCCCCGAATCCCCAGGTCACCCCTTCATCATGACCGTGGGCTGTGTGGCCGGTGACGAGGAGTCCTACCAGGTTTTCAAGGATCTCTTCGACCCCATCATCCAGGACCGGCATGGCGGCTACAAACCCACCGACAAGCACAAGACCGATCTCAACCATGAGAACCTCAAGGTCAGCAACACGCCACCACCAGAGGGGACGCAGGGGGGAGGGAGGGAGAGGGACAGAGAGGCACAGAAGACAGAGCAGGAGGCCAAGGTCACAGGGGAGGGGAGCGGGGAGGGGGGGGGATGAAGACAAACAGGAAGCCGGAGGGGGGGAGGGGGGCAAAAATGAGGAAGGGGCTGGTTGGAGGAAAGAAACAGGGACACATGAGGGGCTGGGAGAAAGACGGACGGAGGGACAGACAGAGAAGGGAGAACCCAGTGGGCAAGGAGAAGCTGAAATGAGTATCAGAGAGTCAGACCTGGGAGCAGCCGGGGGGGGGGGGGGGGNGAGGGGGGGGGGGGGCGGGGGGGGGGGGGGGGGGGGCGGGGTGTGGAGGACACAGGCTTGCCGGGGAAGGGGCGGCTTGGGGGTGCCCAGCCCTGACCCCCCCTTCCTGCCCTCCAGGGTGGAGACGACCTGGATCCCAACTACGTGCTCAGCAGCCGCGTCCGCACGGGCCGCAGTATCAAGGGCTACACGCTGCCTCCCCACTGCTCCCGGGGCGAGCGCCGGGCGGTGGAGAAACTCTCCGTGGATGGTGAGAGCCCCCATCCTGACACAAGGGTGCATCACAGAATGAATTGGGGGGGGAGCTCCCTTAGAAAGGAGGAGACCTGATTGACAAGGAAGGAGTCTGAAGAATTCCAGGAGCAGCAAGTGCAAAGGCCCTGAGGTGGGCGTGTTGGAACAATAGCTAGGAGACCAGTGTGGTTAGAGCTGAGTGGACGAGGGGAGGAGATGGGGTCAGAGGAGTATGGGGGGCCAGGTTGCACAGAGCCTTGTGTGCCCTCGGGAGGGCTTTGGCTTTGACTCTGAGGGAGACGGAAGCCATGGAGTCCTCTGGCTGTTGGGTGGGGAACAGACTGTGGGGAAAGGTAGGAGCAGAGAGACCGTGAGGGGAAACCTCAGTGGTTCAGGCGAGGGTAAGACCCAGGCAACAGGATGGGGAGAGCGAGCAGGCATATCGTTCTGGTAGATGTTTAACAACTAGCTCTCAAAAAAAAGAAAAAAAGAAAAAGCCTTAATCTATAGCAACTGCCAGTTTCTATGGTATAAATTCTCCTACCGTGGCCAATTTTGAGCTATGAGCATGGTGTCGTAGAGAGACGGGAAAAGATGGGCAGTAACATATGCTTACACAGTGTTCCCACCTTACAGATACAGATGAAAACAAGGTCAAGAACGTAGATAATAAAAATGTAGTAGGCGGCACCTGGGTGGCTCAGTCGGCTGAGTTTTGGCTCAGGTCATGGTCTCTGGGTCGTGGGATCGAACCCCATGCCAGGCTCAGCACTGAGCATGGAGCCTGCTTAAGGTTCTCTTTCCTTCTCTCTCTCTCTCTCTCTTCCTCTGCCCATCTCCCCTGCTCATGGCCCCTTTCTCTAAAATTAAAAACAAAAGTAAAATAATTAGGAAGTGATACTTTTGAATATTTATTACCTATGTTTTAAATATATTTAAAGGGCGCCCGGGAGTCTCAGTCGGTTGAGCATCTGACTTCTGCTCAGGTCATGATCTCACGGTCCATGAGTTCGAGCCCCGTGTCGGGCTCTGTGCTGACAGCTCAGAGCCTCGAGCCTGCTTCAGATTCTGTGCCTCCCTCTTTCTCCGCCCCTTCCCCACTTGTGCCCTGTCTCTCTCTGTCAAAAGTAAACAAACATTAAAACATTTAAATATAATATACTGAATTGTAAGGCTTATATAATTATTATTTTATAAGTTCATTTATTTATTTTGAGAGAGACAGAGATCGCGTGAGCAGGGGAGGGACAGAGAGAGAGGGAGAGACAGAATCCCAAGCAGGCCCTTCCGCAGGGAGCCTGATGCAGGGCTGCAACCCGCGAACCGTGAGGGCATGGCCTGAGCTGGAACTGAGAATTGGCGGCTTAAATGACTGAGCCACCCAGGTGCCCCTTTGTAAGTTATTTTTAGCAATATAATCTAGTAAATATATACTACGGGATATAGAACATTATATAAAAATGTATAAAATGAATGTAAATCTGTACATATTCTAGAAATATACATTATGCACACATGCATAATATACGATCATTCTATATATGAATATACACAAATACTATGTGCAGTACATTATAATGATTGAAATAGTTCCCCAAGTTCCTAAGATTTTGATCATCTGTCTTGCTGGCCAGTTGAAGGGGCCCCAGCTCACCGTTGCTCACAGGTGATAGTCTGTGTTTCTGGGCTGAGCAAGCGTCACGGTTGTTCCCAGATCCTGGGTGGGCAGGGAAGGGGCACATGCCTTGGGGAGAGGTCCCGAATTTCGGTTTCGTCCTAGTGTTCAGGCCTTGTTAGGACAGGACCAAGCCCCAGGCTCGTTAGTGTGGGGACCCCGGGCCTCCACGTGCAAGTCGAGGTGGTGCAGGCTGCTGACCACTCCCTCTAGTGGCCCCTCAGCCCTCAACAGCCTGACAGGCGAGTTCAAGGGGAAGTACTACCCTCTGAAGAGCATGACCGAGCAGGAGCAGCAGCAGCTCATCGATGACCACTTCCTGTTCGACAAGCCTGTGTCCCCACTGCTGCTGGCCTCAGGCATGGCCCGAGACTGGCCCGACGCCCGCGGCATCTGGTGAGGTCCCCTCCCCCAGCCTCCGCCACTCCCCCCCACTACCCTCCCTGCTCCCCCACCAAAGCCAACACCACAAAAACGATTACGTTTCCAGGCGCCCCAGAAAATGACCTCGCCATCCACACCCGCCTACTCTGTGGTCTGTGCATCACATTTTAGGAAGCGTTGACCAGAGAAGTGGCAGTCAGGGACTTAGACTTGAACCAGACTCCCTGGGTTCGAATCCCAGCACTGCCCTTTACGAGGTGTGACCTCGGGCATGGTATTTAACACTTCTGTGCCCTGGTTTCTCTATCTGTAGAATGGAGATCACAGTAATTCATAGCTGTTGGGTTCTTGTGAGGGTTCAATGGGTGAATTTATGTGAAGTACTGAAAACGGTGTCTGGTTGGGGCACCTGGGTGGCTCAGTCAGTTGAGCTCCCACCTCTTGACTTTGGCCCAAGTCATGATCGTAGGGTGGGTGGTACGACCAAGCCCTATGTTGGGCTCCACACTGAGCGTGGAGCCTGCTTAACATTCTCTCTCTCCCTCTGCCCCTCTCCCCTGCTCTCTCTTTCTCTTCCTAAAAAATAAAAACAAAACAACAGTGTCTGGTATACAGTAAGTGACCAACATCTTTGCTACTGGTTTATCTTTTATTGTTACTGGTTAGGTTTCTATGCATCTTTGAATCCCTGATTCTGATGGTCAAAGATTTTCAAAGGTTTCAAAAACCTAGGTTACAGATGATCCAAAAACCTAGGTTACAGGTGATCCGGAGAGTGTGTGAGTCCTAAGACGTACCCATTTTAAATATTTTTAGGCTCTAGGATTCCACTAATTCCAGACTCTGTGATTCCCATGGCTGCAGAAGTTTCCAGATCTTAGCATTTTATCTGAGATGTCACAAGGTGATGGGAAGATGGGTCCTGAGACCAGATGTAGGACTTCCAAGATTTATCAGTTGATTCCCAGCTTTTGTTTTTCAAAGATTCTGAGACTCTAAGAGTCTGTAATTTAATGCTGTTCAGACTTAAGACCCTAAACATTTTTGATCCTAGGACTGGCGATTGCTCAGATTCTGTGACGTTAGGGTCTACAGGTGTAAGCTTCCGCGATTTTGAGGGGTCGGTGCCACCACCTCAAAGCCCTCAGGCCCGCTGCCCCCTTGCGGCGGGTACTTTGGCTACAGGGCGGGAATGGGGTGGCCACGCGGGGCTGATTCCTTGGCCTCTTCCTGCGCCCCACCCTAGGCACAATGACAACAAGAGCTTCCTGGTGTGGGTGAACGAGGAGGACCACCTCCGAGTCATCTCCATGGAGAAGGGGGGCAACATGAAGGAAGTTTTCCGCCGCTTCTGCGTGGGGCTGCAGAAGGTGGGTAGCTTGCCCCTCGCGGCGGGCTTCGGACTCTCGCTGAACGCCCCACCCACTTTCCAAGACCCCGCCCCGCCGGGGAACCCGGCTCAGCCCGGGCCCAAGCCCCGCCCTCGATAAGGCTCCACCCACGCAAGCCCCGCCCCAAGAAGAGACTCCGCCCTACACCAAGCCCCGCCCCCAGGAGACTGGCTCCACCCTGGCCGAAAGCCCCGCCCCTAAGAACCGGGCTTCACCCTATGCACAAACCCCGCCCCTAAGAACTCGGCTCCGACTCGCTCTCAAGCCCGGCCCCCTGGGCATCTACTTCCACCATTGTCGTCGGACCCCTCCCTTCATAAGCTTATTCCTCACGGTTTTCCACTCCCGCCCTCTCGGAATCCCACTCCATACCCACGTGCTCACGGTGTGTCCCTCCCAACGCCGTCCGAGTATGGGGGGGGGAGCGCCCACGGGCGCTGACCCCAGATCCTCTCCCCTTACCTCAGATTGAGGAGATCTTCAAGAAAGCCGGCCACCCCTTCATGTGGAACGAACACTTGGGCTACGTGCTCACCTGCCCATCCAACCTGGGCACCGGGCTGCGTGGAGGCGTGCATGTCAAGCTGGCGCACCTGAGCAAGCACCCCAAGTTCGAGGAGATCCTCACCCGTCTGCGCCTGCAGAAGCGGGGCACAGGTGCGGCTCTGCATCCATCCGCGCGCCGCGGCGTCGGGGGTGGGCCCGCGGCGGCGGCGGCGGCAGGGGAGGCGGAGCATCCACGCGAGATGTGGGGTGGACGAGGGCTACCCCACTGTAAGCCTCAGTTTCCTCCTCTGCAAATGGGCATCAGCACGCCTTATCCCATAGAATTCGATATGATATCATGGGTACATAATATGCACTGTGTATATCCCACACCCTCTGGGAACCTCGGTTTACCATCTATAAAAGGAGAGGACGGCCAGGATTCAACCCCGGGCATTCTAGCTCCAGAGCTTACTGTTAGCCATGAGGCTATATTTTCATGTTTGGACGGTCGTGGGGGGGAAGTACTTAAATTAACCAGAGGCGTGAACCCGTGAACAGTTAGGAGGCTCTGAATGCACGTAACCTGTTACACAGGAGGCATTCAGTACGTGCGGCCGTCTCAGCTGGCACAGGGGCAGCAGCCTGGGCCCCGCTCGCGCATCTCTGCTCCCTCCTTATGCCCCTGCCTCCTGCTCCGGCAGGTGGTGTGGACACAGCTGCCGTGGGCTCGGTGTTCGACGTGTCCAACGCCGATCGGCTGGGCTCATCCGAAGTAGAACAGGTGCAGCTGGTGGTGGATGGTGTGAAGCTCATGGTGGAGATGGAGAAGAAACTGGAAAAGGGCCAGTCCATCGACGACATGATCCCCGCCCAGAAATAGGCGTCCAGCCCACCCGCCGCCGACTGCTGGAGCCCCAGCCAAAGGGAGAACTCGGACCACCGGAGGCCCGCCCCAAACCCCCACCCCGGCCCAAAGCCCCACCTCTAAGGGTTCGGTCAACTAGGGGCTCGCGCCACTCTGCTCGGAATTTCATTTCCAATGAGAGTTCCAGCCAATGGGTTTCATCCTCTGAGTCCTGGCCAATGAAAAACCTCCCTCGCACCCTCGTCTCCCTTTCCCAGAGCTCCGCCCACCACCAGGAGCTCGGGTTAATGGAGAGAGAGCTCTCCGACACACCTGGAGCTCGTGCTTTTTCTACGCTCCAAGCAGCAAATAAAAGCAATGGTGGCCTTAGCTTTGGTGCGAGGGTCATTGACCAAGAGGAGGGCGGGCTCTTGCAATTGGCCGCTGTGTGCCTTGCCCTCCCTAGTCCTGTTTTACCCCGTTTCTAAAATGAGGAAAAGTTAGTGTACAGTCCAATCCAAAGCTATGAGGAGTCTGAGACCCAGAGAAGTGTGGCCCCTTCCCAGCCTCAGCTCCCAATCAACTCATGCGCAGATCTCAAACACAGGGTCCTCACAAGGGAGAAACGGAAGCCAAACAAAATGTCTGAGACGTGAATTTGGCCCACGGGCCTCCAGTTTGAGACCTATCATGCATCTCATCACATACACCTCATTATACTTTTCACCGAGGCTTCCTTCTGCGTGACCTCCCCTCATCCTTCCATAGCTGCTACCAGTCCTTTAAACTTCCCTTTCTTTGCTCAAGCACCTGCCATAGCTCCCCACGTGTCCTAGAATGCACTCCCATTAGCTGTGGTTCTTCAACCTGAAATGCGCACCATTCACCGAAGGCTCATCATTCCAGGCTTTTCCCCATGATTCCTCTATACACCCTGCAATTCCCACCTTACTGCCTTTGCCCATGTGCTCTTCCCTCCCCCAGACTGGCGCCTGGCTCACAGCTTCGCGGTGGTCTTCAGGGATCCGCCCCGTGGAGAGCTTGGTCCCAGGAAGGAGGGTCGGGCGCAGCGGGAGGGGCAGGGAATAGAAGTCAAGAAGCATCTGAATATGTATTGGGCGTTGGCCACGTCAATCACCTCTGCTCGACCCAATAGGCTGGGGCCTCCGGGTGCAAGGGCAGAAGGTGGCCTCCAAACTAGACAAAGCTTTCAGAAGGAATCGTGAGGCAGAGTAAGTGGTAGACAGAGCCCTCAGGGTCCTGGAGGAGGGACTTTTTCAAACCTGAAGCCACACAGGTTAAAGGGCCCCTAGAGACCTCTCTGATTTACAGAAGGAAAACTGAGGCCAGAGGATGTCCCCAAGAGCTCGCAGAGAAATTACTGAATCAGGAAGGTTAGAAGAGAAAGACAGGATCTGTCACATGTCAGGATGTCCTTTACAATGCGGTCCCCAAATGAAGATCCAATCACTAACCCCAGCTCCTTCCTCTAACCGCCCCCCGGCCCAGGCCACACAGACCGCATTCCAGCAGGTCGGTCTGAGCCAAATTTGTGGCGTCAGCGACCACGCCCGTCCTGCCCATCATGCCTCATAGGTCTCAAATCCGGCCCTTGTCTCCCCACCTTCGGTCCGACTCCCACCTCCTCCCTAATCTCCTGACCTCTCTTCTTCCCTCCCTTCACCGCATAAACCTAGCCCCTGCCTCTCCCTTGCTCACAACCTTGCCATGGCTCCCCAGTGCTCTTGGAAGAAAGCCCGAACCCCTCTCCACGACCTTCAGGGTCCTGCCAACATCTCCAGGCTCGTGTCTCCCGGTGACTCTACTCACTGCCAACTATGTGCCGCTTGCTGTGCTCTCTCCTGCCCCTCAGCCTTTGTACAGGCTGTTCCCTCCCCCTACACCTGCCCCCTGCCCGCCATGTCTAGCTAGCTGCTCCTCCCCTTCTCCCAGTTGCTGCCGAGCGGCTCCTCCTCCAGGGAGCACCCCCCCCCCCCCGGCTACGCCAGGCACCCCCTTGGCCTTCCCCAGCCTCTGCCCTGACCCCGTCCCCCAACCCTGAGGATGCAGCTGCCTCTTCCACTAGACTGAGCCCGATGAGGGCAGGGCTGGGGCTGTCTTGGTCACCACAATGTCACCAGCACAGGGCTGGGCACACGGGAAGCCCTCAGGGATTGAGATTTCCGGACAGGGTTGCTTGGTTCCCCAGCCCGCCCACCCCCATGACTCTGTAGAGACACCTTGCAGCAGATCCCTATTCTGGGCTCGCTTGTAAGGGAGAATGCGGTTCTGCCCCAGACCCTGAATTGTTCAACACCGACCACTCAGTCTCGACCACCCCTCCTTTCTCATTGGACTTTCCCATCAGCCCCATGGAGAACAGAAGACAAGGGCTGACCCTGCCACGCCCCAAGTGGGCAATAGAGGCATAGTAAACTAAGCCTCTTCCCTACATACAACTCTCCATGGCTCCCCAGTGCCCTTGGATGAAAGCCCACCTCGGTCGCTTTGGACCACGAGGCCCTGTGCCAACAACTCCCTCCTTCCCCCCCCCCCCCCCCCCCCCCCCCCCCCCCCCCCCCCCCCCCCCCCCCCCCCCCGCTTAATTCTATCGAGCTTCCATTTCCTGCCTCTGGCTAAGGACACCGGGACTTTCCTCTGGGGAACCCCTCTAAGTCCAGCTCTAGGTAGGGACCAGGCCACTCCAGAGCAACTGGTTCGGGACGGCCACATGGCTTCCCTGGGCCAATAAGAGCCTGTCTTGGGATTTTCGACAAAGTAGGCAACGAGGAACCTTCCACTGCAGAACACAGGCAAAGGGATGAGAGGTTGGAACCGCTGGGTGAAACCACTGACCTCACGCTGAGAAAAGCGGAGACGAGATGGCCCGCTGCCCGGATTCAGCCCTACCTGAGTCAGGCACCCCCAGACGATTAGGGAACATAAGCAAACATATAAGCGTTTTGCTTATGTGAAGATGGATTATTAGTCCTAACACAGCGTTTCTCTTGCTAATTCGCCACGCCCCCCAACATGGCAGCCACACCGAAATTACCCGAAGTTCCCTGAAGGTTTATCATGCACTCCTAGAAACAGGCTTTTTTGCCCGGAGCATACCCACTACCCGGCCAACTCCTACTCGTCCTTCAAAGCCCAACTCCGGCACCCTTTCCTCCCTGGAGTGGCTTCCCGGACTCCCCTCACGTTCTCTTCCGGACTCCCCAAAGCAATGGTCTCTCTAGTGTTTGTGTCAGAACCCACGTCCCCCACGGACAGGGGCTCCTTGTGTCTCCGTGTCCAGCACCGGGCCTGGCACGGAGAAGGCACAGGTCAATGACTGTTTATTGAATAAATGTACTATTGGAGTTAAGAAGTGGCTTAGAGTCCGGTATAACGTGGGTGGGCACGTGAGTGGATGAATGAGGGACCCATATAGGAACCGGGGGCCTCCTGGATGAGGCGGAGTTCTGTCCTACCCTCTTCCACAATCATCCTTGACCCTCACCCCCCCCCCCACGACTCCCATTCTGCAGATGAGGAAACCGAGGCTCAGAGAGGAGGCACCACTTGGCCCAAAGTCCCGCACCCCCTCATCTCAGCCGCAGGTGAGGGCAGGGAAGGAAAAGCCCGGGGTCAGCGTGGGGGAGGGGGGGGACTCTCCTAAGTTTATTGGGCGACAGGCTGCGGGTGAGGGGGCTGACAGGAGGAGGGTGGGGGTGTAATAACTTAAAAACCGGCAGCTCCTCGAGAGATCTCTGCAGAGGGGAGGGTGTGGGGGGTATTTACAAGGATTTGTACAAAGTGCCCCGCGCCAGCCTGGGGCAGGAAGGGGGGAGGTTTGAGCATGAGGGGAGGGCAGGGGAGGGGAAGGAATCTGCCTCTCTGACCCCCACTCCCAGCCCCCCTCCCCCCTTCTACAGTCTTTAGGCTCAGCAACACTTCCGGCCCCCCGCCCAAGGCCCAATTCTTGAGCCGTTGGGGGAAAGGGGGCGGGGATGGAAGCGTTTCCTCGGTTTCCCTTTCTGCCCCTGCCCTGCCCCCAGAGTCTCCTCAGGTGCCCCACGGCGGGGTGAGGGGGGGTGGGCAGGACCGGCTGGAGGCTCCAGGAAGGTGCCAGCTCCCCCTGCTAAGCCCCCTCACTTCTCTCTCCTGCCCAGTGGCCCCGGACAACAGCGCACGGGACACTCTCTGTCCCCACGTCGGATTCACGGGAGCTGAGGTGATGACAGAGGGCGACGCCCCTCCCTGCCCCCTTTCCCTGCTGTAGAGGTGAAGGGGACGAGGGAGAGGAAGGAGAGGGGACTCGGGCCCGTGGCGGCTCAGAGCTCGAGGTCGTTGGAGATGCGGGTGACGAGGGTGCGGAAGGCCAGGGCGGTGCCCGCCACGCGGCGGAAGAGAACTCCCCGCAGGCCCGGCCGGGGCAGCTGGCAGACCTCCACTTCGAAGTGGGACAGGGGCTCGGGCCCGCCCGCACCCCCGTGCAGGCAGGCCAGCAGGAACGGCTGTGGCTGGCGGCAGCGGCAGCGGGCGGCCGCGGTGGCCTGGCGCAGCGCTGCCATCAGGGCCTCGGGCGGCCGTGAGCTGGTCAGCTTCACACTCCAGGGGAATCGGAGTAGCCGGGGGGCGGTTTCCGTTTGATCCCAAGGTAGATGGCAACTGGGGCGGGAAGACACGGCGGGTCAAAGACCGGGACGGGAGAGGAGGGTAACCCACGCCTCCCACCTGGGGACGCACTCCTAGGCGTCCCTCAGAACCCGCCTCCCCTCTCTGACCCCAGCGCCAGGGCCGGAGTTTAGCTGCAGGGACGCCCGCCCACCTGGAGGCTACGTTTTCCGGCCTCTGCGGCAGCCAGACTGCAAAAGTCCCGGATGTGAGTGGAAGCGAGGCGGGCAGCCGCCTTCCAAGGAAACTGCAGGCCCCGGGCTCTCTGCCCCACCTCCTAGACCTGTCCTCGGCTGCGGCTGGGGCGAACCTCGACTGTACAAAGCCAGGTCCCCAAGGGATGGGGAGAACCTTGGACACCTGCACGACCTCATAGGGGCAGAGGGGCCCTGCCAGCCTGGCCCTGCCTCCTGGGTTACGGGACAGAGAAACTGATTCCTGTCTTTGATTTTGGGGGGTCTCTTTGCATTAGCAGCTTGGCGCGTTTCCTCATACATCCTCCGCCTGGGAAGCACCCCTTTTTCCTTGGAGGACCCACCCTCCTCACTCTACACCGGGGGTTCTCGCCTAAAAGCAATACCGTCCCCCCAGGGGTATTTGGAAACTTCTGGAGGCTTTCGGATTGCCCCAATGTCTCGGGGTGGGGGTGCCTCTTGCATTTATTAAGTTCGGGGGCGGGGGGTTCAGGGAGGATACACGCAATGTGTGCGTGGGCCGCCGCACAAGAA